CCGTCGGATTGCATCAGCTGTGGGGATGAAGACGACAACTCCCATGATTCCACACTCAGTCATGGCGTCATCAAACTACGCCTTTCATTCTTTGTTTATTTTGAATATGCGCCCTCTAGCGGCGAAAATTACATATTGTGCCTTTAATTAAAAAGAACAGTAACACATCACGTTATTTCAAGAGACCGCATGTACTGCATGTGTCATTCCATGATATGTCAGGAAATTTTCAGCAGTGTAAACTATGGCAGCGAGGCTATGTATAACAACAAGTTCTTGATTCTTTGAAGGCCGCCAAGGATAAATACAGGGAGTTGGCCATCGAGGGCATGCACAGGGATCTTGTGTTCCAGTTTATCGAGAACCAAACTCTCCTGCTGGCTCCCATCTGCCCCCACCTGTGTGAACACACCTAGTGCTAAAAGGCTAACTTGTTTCTGGGTTTTGGCCTTCAAAAATACATCATCCCTCATCTAGGGCTGAGACGATAAATCTATGCAGAATCGATTCGTGGATTGATTCTGAGATCTTCCGAATGCATCGCGATTCTCTCTTGAATCGATTCTGAGCTTAGATTTTAAATGCAGATGGCGCTCTAATCTACTTTTTATCCGCACACTCAAATGCTCATGAAGAAGAGCGCTGAAGAGCGGTTGTGCGTTTGGCTGAGTAATGTAATTTCACCTCGGCTCAGAATGCTTTTATGACGCAAGATTAGTGTAAACTAGGGATGCACGATATTGGATTTTGCCGATATCCGATATGCCGATATTTTTCTACTCCTTTTGACCAATGCCGATACCGATACATTTTCTTTTGTTTGGAAACAAAACCAGGTCTCTCCTGAACAAAGATTATAAACAAATTATTTTTAATTATGGTTAGTTTTTAACAAAAATGTATTTGTTAGAATTAAATAAACATTTAATGAAATTCTTTTATAATGAGAGTACACTGAAAGCTGAAAATAACTATAAATCAACAGCATATTTTTCTCCGACAAATGCAGTCATAACCTTAACATTTTATTTGAAGATTTAACATTTGTAGATGGTCTAAAGCAAAAGAGTTGTAAAAACTTTGAAAATCTTTTAGAGGTCCTTGTATTTAAGTTTTCATAATCCCTTTGAAATGCAGTCATAACCTTAACATTTTATTTGAAGATTTAACATTTGTAGATGGTCTAAAGCAAAAGAGTTGTAAAAACTTTGAAAATCTTTTAGAGGTCCTTGTATTTAAGTTTTCATAATCCCTTTGAAAAAAAAAGTATATTTCACTTTAATGAATATATCTGTATATAAAATTATTTCATTTACAAGTGTCATGTTTGATTTTTATTCATGTAAGCTATAGCTCCTGACCTTTAAATCAAAGCATACGCGTGATTTTATGGCATTGATTACTGCTTTATTTAATCAGAAACACAATCTTAATGCTATTTTGTGTATTTTACTTTCATTTTATTACAAGTAGGCCAACAGCGCCCCCTAAGTAAATAAAATGCCTTACCGGACGGGCATTAGGACCCGGGGGAGGCTGTAGCCGCTGCTACTGCACGTATTCGTGACTGTTTATAATACAGCACACCGGACGTGTTATTCTGTACGTGCATTCTTAAATTAAATACAGCATTCCAAAACAGTCAAGCTAATCATAATTCAAGCAAATGTTCGCTTCAAGAATGACCACACTGCTGATGTGATCTTACCATTAGCACACCCTGAGCACATGTGAGCTATTCGTTTTATCGGCAAGGCATATCGGCATAATTTTTCATAACAGGCCGATGCCAATGTTTACATTTTAAGCCATTATCGGACGATCCGGATATCGTTCCGATAATATCGTGCATCCTTAATATAAACACAGCCCACTGTGAACATCCTTGTAATTCGCTTCAAACTTTTCAAAGTTTATGTATGATTATTTTAGGTTCAAGTGTGTGTAAGGATTTGGAAACAAGCAGAGTACGGCTGTTTCTAAAGCATGCAGTGCTATCTGCTGTTCAAAACTAAGCTCAGAATCGACTCGAGAGAGATTTGTGATGCATTCAGAAAATCAAAGAAACAATGCTGAATCATTTCTCGATTCGCGATGCATCGATTTATTTTCCCAACCTACCCTTATCACTCTATTAGAAATGAAAAACACTAGGGTTCCCACTATACAATATCACCACAATGTAATACGTTTTTTTTGTTGGTGTTTGACATGTTGCCATGTGTTTTCTTTCTTATTTTGTCATTACATTAATTAGTCAAGTGTCTGTTCTCCTAAGTTCTCCTGGGCCATGCAGAGTAAAATGTTCTTAACAACAGTGTTCATGGGATCCTTAACCAAATTCACATGTAACATACCAGCTTGTCAACATGTTGACAGTGAGGGAACCAGTCAGGAAATTAAATTGTTTTGGCAAAGCTTTGCATATTGCAGTGAAACTTGGTAAGTTTCCTTAAAGGGTTAGTTCACCCAAAAATGAAAATTAGCCCATAAATGACTCCCCCTCAAGTCATCCTAGGTGTATATGACTTTTCCAAAGCAGTTAAATAAAATGTGCCCATCCATAAAAAAAAAAAGGTGTCTCACACGGCTCCGGGGGGTTGAACAAAGGCCTTCTGTAGCGTATCGATGCGTTTTTGTATGAGGTCAGTGCTGCGCATGCGCCAATGAGTCTCGTGAAAGCCAACGTTTGTTAACAGGAGCAAAGGAAGCAAAGTTTCCTTACTTTTGGAAAGGATTTGGAAACAAGCAGAGTACGGCTGTTTCTATATTTATATCATTTATATTTATATTTATATTATACATATATATCATACATATTTTAAGCAATAATTATCGTTTTATCGCCCAGCCCTAAAGTGCCATATTGACATTGACAAGTGCTATCGCATCGAAAAGCCAATCACAGTAATCTCTCATGACAGCGACGACGACATCTCAACATGTTGAATCAGCCGTAAAGTCAACGGCAAAAACTGGGCTGACAGACGCTCAATGATGGTCCGGTCGTCGGCATGTTGTGTAACAGTTTTTAGGGTCCCTCTGAACTTCAGGAAAACCAACGTTTGTTAACAGGAGCAAAGGAAGCAAAGTTTCCTTACTTTTGGAAAGGATTTGGAAACAAGCAGAGTACGGCTGTTTCTATATTTATATCATTTATATTTATATTTATATTATACATATATATCATACATATTTTAAGCAATAATTATCGTTTTATCGCCCAGCCCTAAAGTGCCATATTGACATATTGACAAGTGCTATCGCATCGAAAAGCCAATCACAGTAATCTCTCATGACAGCGACGACGACATTTCAACATGTTGAATCAGCCGTAAAGTCAACGGCAAAAACTGGGCTGACAGACGCTCAATGATGGTCCGGTCGTCGGCATGTTGTGTAACAGTTTTTAGGGTCCCTCTGAACTTCAGGAACTGCACCTCCTAGTGGCTGAAATTGGCTATGTTTGCCCATTTCTGTTGAACCGTTTATTCTAAAATCATATTTCTGGTGACTCTTTAAAATAGTGCGCAAGTCGCAGCATATCTGCACTGTTGTGCTTGGTCCTGTAATTGCTGCTTGCAGCTATATTTATAATAATTAAGATAATAATACACTATTTTAATGGTTCAAACTTTTTATCTCTATGATGAGAATTCACCAAACTTTGCACTCAGGAAAGGTCAGTAGCTAATTTCTTGGATTGAATGCATGGTTGCATAGCAACTAGTGTTAAATGTGATGTTCAAAACCCTAAACCCTGCTACCTCAACATTAAAGTTTGAGTAATTTATGAAGATTTTCAGTTAGGTTACTTTATGGTAGCTACACGTTGGGGTTGTACTTGAAATTTGTAGCACTATTCTTAAAATCCTTGTAACATTAAGCTATTAGACAGAGATCTCGCACCTCCAGACCCCAGCAGTCCAGCATGCTGCCCAACCCCACCCAAACATAACTGACATTAAGAATGAAGCAAGTCGACAGCTGTCACGTAGAGTGAGTGCAACGCTGTCCCAGACCTCCCCTGACAGAATAGTGCATTATCCCTCGCTTTTAACATGGGACGGTTTCCCTACAGTCTGTTTGTACCTATGCTGAGGCTTATGTAAGCGTTATGAGTCAAAGCTCCGAGGAGGGAGGCTTTTCTCAGTCCTGTTGTTGGGACCATGTGGTAATGGATGTCGCTTTGAATAAGGAGTTGTTGTGCTGATGTGTTTTAGAAGGTTTTAGACTGTGAAGGAAACTGTACTGGTGGTAACTGGATATAAAAATAAGAATATAAAACTGGATATAAAAGTAAGGCTAGGGTTCAATTTATAGATTTAAAGTATACTTTCAAAGGGGTCATATGATGCTGCTAAAAATAACATTATTTTGTGTATTTGGTGTAATGAAATGTTTATGCGGTTTAAGGTTAAAAAAACACATTATTTTCCACATACTGTACATTATTGTTTCTCCTCTATGCCCCTCCTTTCTGAAACGCATCGATTTTTACAAAGCTTATCGGTCTGAAAAGCGAGGTGTGCTCTGATTGGCCGAATACATCAAGCGTGTGACGGAAATGTTATGTGCCTTACCATATTGTAATGCCTTGTCCCGGCCGGAGCAACGAGATAAAAACATTCAAACCCATTATAAACGAGGCATTTGTTGCATCCAGTGAGGACATAATTACTGATTATAATGACTTATACTATCTTTTTACGACTTATACTGTCTTTTTATGCCGCGTAAACATAAAACCATGTCTGCATTTGTGATCGGAGAAATGACAAAAAACAAGTGCTACTCTACACTGCTCAAAACTCGCGTTTGAATTGTCATTGGCAAATTCTTTAAATATAAAAAACGTACTTACAGTCTGTGAGTCAGAACAGCCGGCATTGTAGTCTACTCTCACAGGATCAGGAAACATTCCTCCATAAAATGCACTGGACACATCTGAATATTTGGGTTGAATTGTTTGATCTTCTTTATGCACCAAGAGCTTGTAACACTCCAAAGAGAAAGGAAAAATTTAAATCGCATCATATGACCCCTTTAAAAACGTATTTTCTAAAATAAAATAAGTTCAAATATTTTATAGTAGTAGTAGTAGTAGTAATAATAATAATAATATGACTACACTTATGTAAAAATTATAAATAGTAAATAAATGGTTAATAGCAGTTACATTCATAGATATTAAGTATATTTTGAGAACATTTTCAAAATAAAATAATAAAAATAAAATGCAAATATAAAATAAATAAAAAATATAAAATCGGAAAATAATAGTAATAATAATAATAATAATGACTTATTATTGTTATTATTATATTGTTATTTATAATAATAATAATATATCACTACCAACTTATGTAAAAAAAAAAAAATACAAATAATAAATAGGGCTAGTGTTACATTTATAGAAATTTTAATGAACTCTGGGAGAAAAAAAGTTTAATTTGCTTTCTCCAGTCCAGTCAAGATTTCATATGTAGCAGCAGTAGTGATAATAACAATATACAATTATATAATATATAATTAGGAATACATTAATATATCACAACCCCTTTACAATAAAATAAACCCATTTACGTTATAAAGAACAAATGTTTAGTGTATAGAATTATTTACATTAAAAATAATACTTTATAATGTTACTGCACTTATACCATCTTATTTCTAGTTTTAAGTTTTGCTTTCCTTTGTCTATCACAGAAGGGAGGCAACAAACCACCAGCTAAGCCCACACACTGCACCATCTACGTAGCAAAGACCTACCCGCCGTGGCAGCACAGCGCCCTCTCTCTGCTGGGCAAACATTACAAGGTATAAACACCCTAATCACATCTCTCATATCAGAGTGTACAAACTGAGACAACCTTCACATATTTAATAGGGCTTGACACAGATTTCATGAATCGATTTGTTGATTCCAATTTCGTTTTGATATTATTATTATTTATTTAATTTTTTTTAAGTGTAACATTCTATCAACTAATGCTGTAAAATACACCTGTCGTTTGATACATTACTATGATATTAAAGGTTCAAATTAACAATAAAGTCCAAATTCAATTGCTGTTCATTTTTCATCACACAAAAAGTTTTCATGACAGAAAGCAATTGGTACATTTCTCTGGCACTACTCGGAATGTCATTTTTCAATTCGGAGTGTTAAGTTTCGATAGGCTGTCAATCAAACAGCAATTCTTTCCCATTGTCATTTCTAGAGCAACAATGGAGCTCTACCTGACAATAAGGTCATCGCCATGGAGCTGGGTGCCATGCCGGAGCTGAAGAAATACATGAAGAGAGTGATGCCCTTTGTAGCCATGATAAAGGTAGAAGAGTTTGGACCTTCAATACGATCTTGTAAAAACTGGGTTTTAGATTTAAAAGCATGGTCAAAGGCTAGCATCAACAAAGGCTGTGTTCACAATAGCATAGTGCTGGGCAACGATTAATTGCGAGTAATCGCATCCAAAATAAAAAGTTTGTGTACATAATATATGTGTGTGTACTGTGTATATTTATTATATATATACACACACATTCATGTATATAGTTAAGAAAAATGTTATGTTTATATATATATAATATAAATTATATGAATATAAATATATACATGTAAATATTTTTGAAATATATACTGCATGTTTGTGTCTTTTATATATACATAGTAAATATACACAGCACACACACATATATTATATAAACAAAAAACTTTTTTGGATGCGATTTAATCCCGATTAATCATTGCCCAGCACTACAATAGCATACTTCCATACTATTTCTGCAGTATGTATATTTAGCACAGTATGCAAATTTGCTATATGCACAGAATACTGTGATCTTTGCCAAAATATGCAATTTACAGCTTACTTGGAATATTGTATTCCACAATGCGATGTACTCAGACCTTCTATTTATGTGACAAATAAATCAGAATTATGTGTTTTATTAAATGTTAATGAACACAATAATTTGTGTATATATGCCAATAATATATGTGCACATTCCTGAAAAAAATAACAGTTCAAAGTTTCTATAAAACATATTAAGCAGCGCAACTATTTTCAAAATTAATGATAATAAGAAATGTTTCTTGAGCCCTAAATCAGCATATTCAAATGGTTTCAAATGATTTTTTTCCACACTGAAGACTGGATTTCAGTAATGCAAACTATATAAATAAATACATGTTTTTTTTTTAAATGTTAGTTGAATTGCTTGCAATATTATAGAATGAAACGTGTCATTTATATGCATTTAAATTGGTCCTGTTTCTCTCTTGCGGTGTGTTTCCAGGACAGCCTAGAGAAAAACGGGCCCAGGGTTCTTGATCTAGAGCTGGAGTTTGACGAGTGTGCTGTCCTACTGGAGAACATCGTTTATTTGACTAATTCACTTGAGGTAATAGTGCATAACTACTTGAAAAGCAAACTAAATGTTCAGTTCTACAAAACCAAAGGACAGAAAACAACTTTCGTAACACTTAAAGAAAATCTAAATTGACTATGTATGGCTTAATGAATGACCCTGGTCTTATTGTACATGACTCATCAGTACACAATACTGTAAAGAAAAATTATTCAAATAATTTTACTTGCATTCATTTAACACCTTCAAAACAAGCCGATTATTTTCATTTGAATATTGTGTTTTACTATAAAATGCATTGCAAAGGTTTCTTTTTCCCCCTCTCATTTTAGCCATTTTTCTTTTGTAATAACCGAGCTGCGGTGCTGAAAGCACTATTATTAGCTGACTCTTGGTCTGATCTCATTGTTAGTTGTTTCAGTCAATAGCTAAATGATAACCGGTGTCATTCTTTCTCTGACCCTCCTTCCTTCTCCTCCATCAGTTGGATCAGATAGACGTTGTGTTCGCCTCTGAAGCAGATGACAAAGTGAAGGAGGACTGTTGCCCTGGGAAACCGTTCTGTGTCTTCAGATCCGAGGTGATGATGAGAGCCCACTGAGGCCCTGTCATAGCTGCTGCACCATCTATTGTTTCTGTTTTTTAATGGTTGATCTGGCCTGTGCTGCATGCAGCTCGAGACAGACTAATTTTAGAAGCATGCTGCGCATTGCTAATGCTTCGTAGATGCAGCTCACTATGGTGTAGTGTACAGCGTTCAATCAGACATAAAATGTTTTCTGAGTTATCGCCAGGCTTTTGGAAATATATTTGAAATATGATGATATGTTTATATGCAGGATTTGATATGCAGTGTTCCCACAACCAAGGAGAAAAACATTTGGAAAAACAATGGAAATATTAAAGAATTTTATATATATATATATATATATATATATTTCACAATATTAATGTTTTAGTGTATTTTTGATTAAAAAAAAATTAAACAGGATTTTCTTTAGGGTTAATAATGATAAATAACTAGTGGCTACTTTGATAAAACCATATTTGATGATCACTAATCTGATAGTCTCCCAATATCTTTGGTTGAGGTAAGAAAATACTAATTTTCTTTAAAAGTCATGTGTGTAAAAAAACAAAAGTTCAGACACAAATAGCACTGAAAATGTGCCATCTAGGAAGCGCTATGAGGGAAATAACTATTTTCCAGCCAAGCAGGCCGTAGCAGATATGAAGACGGCTCATTTTTACAGTCGGATGCAAGTGGAGACGAGATCAGCCACAAAGAAACACGTTCAGATGGACGCTTGCATTTTGTACAGACTTAGGTGGCAAACATATAAGCGAGCCGTTCTACATATGACAGCTACATGCAATGTTTCATTAGTGGATGTGACCCAGTTTGATGTGCGTTAGCTGTGGTGCAGAAGGAAGTGATGCGAGACATTAACCTCAAGAGAACGTGCAATTCTGCATTGTAACATCACACAGGCTGCATCGCTGGTAAGCTCTTGTTGCATATTTGAGGTGTCATTTGCAAGCTTTTATTTAATATTGTTGTGTGTGTGTGAATTGCACAAACCAGTGGGATACATGTAAGTAGGCCAGCAGTCCCAAAAATGCTTGATTGTATGTTGTATAATTGTATTTGAGAGGAATTCTGAATTATATCTGCTGTTGTGTGTGATACATTTCTGTTTGTGACTATTTGAATGCACTTGAGAGGTGTTTTCATTTGTGTGTGTGTGTGTGTGTGTATGAAGGCTTATCAGCTCACAGCAGCTTTCTGTCAGGGCTTCTTGGCCAAGCGGCTATCAGAAAGAACACACCACTGTCACCATAGGAAACTCATCCCTGTCTTTTCCTTTCGTCTGTTGTCATCGTGAGGGATTGTTCTGAGCCACTTTGATATTCACCATGTAAGTGTTCATCTCATTAGTATGCATTTCATTTGTTTAATGTCACAGTACTGTCAAAACTTTCAGGGACTTCCTTTTTACTCACCTTTTTAAAGGATTGTACGTCTGTGTTTTTGTTCTGAAGCTGCTTTTTGCGCATCACCTTCAAAACCAAATGGACGGTTCTGGTGGAAAAGATGTTGAAGCAAAACCAACAGTTAATGAGAAGATGGAACTTCCTGTTCTGACTCAACCTGGCCTCGGAGTGACCACGACTTCTGGTGGAAAAGATGTTGAAGCAAAACCAACAGGTAATGAGAAGATGGAACTTCCTGTTCTGACTCAACCTGGCCTCGGAGTGACCACGATAACAGTGACCACTATCACTCAAACAGGAGGAGACTGGAGCACAGGACTGTTTGACGTGTGCGCTGATACCAGCACATGTAAGAGGAAGTGCTTGAGAGCCATTATGAGATATAAAGTCATATTATGAGTTTAAAGTGAATGCTTCAAGAAACAAAGTTGCAAATACAACATTTAAACTCCCTTTTCAAGATATGAAGTTGCATTGTGGTGCATAAAGCAACCTTTAGAGGTTTAAAATCGAAAATTAGGAGAGATATAAGGTTGCAGTTGTGAGAGCCAGGGACTTTGTGAGATATAAAGTCACAACTATGAAAAAAGTCGCAACTGCAAGACAAACTCAATTGGCAATATATGAAGTCGCATTGTGTAATTTTGAAGTCAGAATTGGGAGAAATAAGTTTGCAATTACGAGAATCAAAATCACAGTCGCAATTAAGAAAACCAGTCACATTGAGAGTTAAGAAGTCGCAACTGCAAGACTTAAACTCAAATTGTGACACGTATGAAGTAACATTGTGAGATATAAGGTAAAAATCGGAATAGATTTAGGATTATTTTCATAATTTGCAATTATGAAAAACAGTCATATTGCGAGATATAAAGCAATATTGTCAGTCGCAGCTGCAAGACTTAAAGGGCCAGATTTACTAAACGGGCAAATTAGCGTAAGAGCGCAATTCAATAAAAGCGGCGATGGGAGGGGGAAATTTTGCGTGTGATTTACCGACAATGCGCACAGTAAAAAACACAGACACAGCACAGATCATGATGACCAGCGCAATCTACCAAGAGTAGCGCAAATTACCGCCTGCTTTAAGACATGCTTTTTTTGGCCGTTTGGAGATATAAAGTCAAACTGGCAGAGACCTAAGTTCGCAATCGTGAGAAACAGTCACATTGTGAGATATAAAGTCGCAACTGTGAGCAACAGAGCCTCAACTGACTTAAAAGACTTAAACTCACTTTGCAGGATATGAAGTCAGATTTTTAGATTCAAAGTCAAAATTGGGAGAGATCTAAGTTCGCAATTGCGAGAAACAAAGTCACAGTTGAAGGATATAAAGTTGCAATAAAAAAAAAAACAGTCACATTGTGAGTTAAAAATTCACAACTAACTTTGCAGGACATGAACTTTGCAGGACCTTATATCTAACAATGACGTAACATTGTTAGATATAAGGTAAAAATTGGAAGAGATTTAGGTTTGCAATTATGAAAAACAGTCACATTGCGAGATTTTTATTGTCAGTCGCAACTACAAGACTTAAAGTCATTTAGGAGTTAAAATTGCATTGACTTGAATTAACATTCTGAGATATAAAGTCAAAACAGGGAGAGTCCTAAGTATGCTCAGAAAAAAAAACAGACTTCCATCATTTTTAAGACAGTAATTCGACCAATAATTTGACTTTGCCTTGTTTCAGTTTTGGTAATGGAGAAAACAACTTTTTTTTCTATTTCAAAATAATGAAACTGGCCTGGAACTCCAGTGGGACACAATTTGGTCTAATATATTTATAGCCTCGGAAAATCTAATGCCGAGTTCACACTGCACGATTTTAGCCCGATTT